CGATTGGCTTTACTGGAACATTCATTCTGACGCTGTCTCCGAGGCGATCTCCTTCGATTCCGGTCAAAAGGTGATAAGCTTTCGTCCGTCAAATGTTGAGACATCATCAGAGCGAGGTAACATCATCACAACAAAATTCAAGCTCTTATGACGGACGAAAGCTTGGCACCTTTTCACTGGAATCGAACAAGATTGCCTCGGAGACAGCGTCAGAACGAATATTCCAGTAAAGCCAATCGACAGCTGGTCAAGCGGAATCCGCCGTCGTCTTCTGGTGATGGAACCGACCTTCGAATGTCTTCACGCAACACTTTCACTTGAAATGGACGTAAGCTCAACAATTATGAAATAAGAGATTCTTTGAAACCCAATTTTTTTTCGCAGTAGGTTGCCTGACCGGAGGAGTGAGAATATGGGCAAGAAAAGAGGCGAATGAACGTTAAAAGCGAGGACTTACAAAGTTTTCCAGCGCTTTATGTGGCTCATGATGTCCTTCGAACAGTCTGGCCTCGTTTGTTCTATAAAATAAACGGAAAAAAGGCGCTTTAGAATGATTAAAACAAAGAGATAAATGCCAGGACGTGTTATTTCGAAATGTAGAGAAAATTCGCATTCAAGTGGAGATTGTTTGAGTGAGCGGATCCGTGTTGAACCTGCTCACCAAAACTCATCCGGCGCTAAGGCCAGAGGGTTGCAGACGTGACGACGGAGTGGCAACTCGTGTCGCGACAACTGTCGGCTCCCAGCCGATCTGATCCTGCCATGGAGGTTGACGTGAATAGCCCGAGTAATGAGGAAGAGGGAGAAAGGAAGAGCACGAAACAGGGCCCGACAAAGCGGTGGTGGTCGAGCTGAGAACCCTGGCGGAGAGGAATAGGGGACCTCACGAAACGGAGTAAGCATAGACACCGATCACACGCGCCATGGTCGCTAGGTCTCGAGGCGTCAAAGGTGGGATAACGAGATTTCCCCATAGCGCCACAAGGTCGAAACTGCTTTCCAGTCCAGTCTAGTCCAGTCCAATAAGTGGAATTCATTAAGATTGGAAAAACCCGAACTATTAGTTGTTGAATAACCCTGACCGACCTAGACTAAGTAATTATTTTTCGAATTAAGTATTGTTTTTCGTGACTACCAGTAAATCAGTTAGAAGATGTATTCACCCAATTTTGTGTAAGGTGATGAAGGACTGGTTGAAGTGGATTCTCCCACAGATGATATGTGTTGAGCTACCGTTCGAGTCCCACTGAGGGTGTTGATAAGACCAATGCGAGGTGGAAACTGCAGTCCACTCCAGCCGGGATGAGAACAACTTTTGGGAAAGCAAGGTTATGTGAAATGCAATGGAAACGTCAGCTCAACTCATATCATTTGTGGGAAAATTCCACTTCTACCAGTCCTTCATCACCTTACACGAAATTGGGTGAATACATCTTATAAGTAATTATTCACAAGTTATTGATAGCCTCGAAGCACATTTGCATGAGCACACAGGT